GAAGAAGCTTGTTAAAAAAACATTTTTAAAAATAATATAGTATAATAATATAATATAGGAAATATAATATAATATAGTAAAACAATATAATAGCTTCAGACCATCTTCTTCCAAGCCCTCTCCCCAAAACCCCACTGCTGATTTTATATCTTACCAATTTACAGAGTCACTTCTACACAGGCGTAGAACACTCTGCAACCGTTCTTTTACACAGCAATTATATGGTGGCTTTTTTTCCCCCTCATTTTTATTATCCATGGAATATTTCAATTGCTTGCACATACTGATTTCCAAGAAATTATTGGTCTGCTCTGACCTACCAGTTTGCAAGTCTTCATAGTCTTTGATATCATTTCCAGGTGTTTGCTCAATAATCAGTTCTATTTGTCTGTCTGTTAAATATTGCACATCATCATTCTGACTTCTTCTATGCTGTTCTGCAAGGACAGCTTCTTGAAGACTAAGGTAGCTTCTCGGTATCTGCAAGCCACATGAGAAAATTAGCAGGATCAGCATCAGGCAGCAAGTGATCTCACAGTGCTGTCTTTTCCCAAAGCCATATGGCCACATTACATACTTTATGTGCCTCCAGCATTGATAAAGTTCACCTCCCAGTCCAAAACTAAGCCCCAAACACGCCTTGCTTTGGGAAGGATCACCACTAGAAAGCACAGTTCTCACCAATCTCCCTGCAAGTTTCTGCGAGCAAATCGAGCTGCCGACGTCCTTCATGTTGCAAGTGACATGAAAAATCAGCTGTCGGAGTCCATCGAGACCTTCCAGAGTCTTACACGAGAGCTCACTGCAAAAAGGCATGCAAGGGTGAAGATTATCAAACCTTATCAGCACACTGGCTTCCTTTTTCAGTCTCACTTTCTCTTATCAGAGCTTTTAAATTTCCTGTGTCAGAAGAACGGGAGGGAGGCTGCCAGTGAGCATTTTTAACTTTGGAGAAAAATATGGAGAAGCCTGGAAAAGATATATTAGGCCAACCTCAGCTCTACTTGCTTCAGTCGCAGGGCACTGCCCTTCTGTCCCCTATGCACCACAACCTCTCGGGACTTCCCTGGCAGCCTGACCAAAGTCAATTTTTTACTCATCTTTTATCCAAAGTCATCACTCTTTCCCCCTTCAGTGCTGCACACATCCTGGAAGGGACTGCAGGAAGGAGAAAAACGCTGTGCTCTGGCAATCACTGGAGACAAGTCTGGTTCTCCCCGCCTCAGATCAAAGAGGCACGATGATGACTACCAGACACCTTTTCCCACCCTCATTCTGGCCCTTGCTCAGCTAGATCCTGTGATCTGGGAATTGATGCTTAGATCCTAAGCCTGGCCTTCATCATCTCTTTAACAGCTAAAAAACTGCTCTCTCCAGCTCCTACTATTTTTGGCCATTTTGTGGGCTGGATAAGAACAGTTCTCTTCCACTTCCTCCAACAAAGGGTCTTTCTAACTCATCCTACACATGTTCCTGTGGCAGACAGAAAATCCTTTTGTAAAGCAATATGCTTTATCTTAAACGTCAGCCATTAGTGGTGCTGGGATCCATGAACTCACTGGGATGCTGAAGGACCAGCACTGATAAAAAACACTCTGGGCTCACCCACACAAACACAAACTCCTCACGCTCCTTCGGCTGCCCAGAGCACTGCTCAGAGGAGCCCCATCCAGGTGGATGAAGGAGAGGCACTGGAGGGAGGAGGTACCGCATCAGGCACAACTTCAAATGGGAGGAAACACAGGGGACAAGGAAGGTGAAGAAGGGGAACCTGCGGCATGTGTGGCAGGGTGAAAGAATGTCCCCTTGAGAAAGAACGATAGGGATGATGCTCTGATCCTCTGTGCTGATGGGAAAAGAGGATTGAGGAGACCAAAGCACAAAGATTTCTCTCTCACTGCCTCACGTTGGGTCCCTGGTACTCCTAAGGGGAGGGAGCCAGCTGGGATGCCCGATGCAGCGCTTGTGTCTGCAGAAGAGAGCGTGGGAGGTCTCTGGATGCCTTTGTCAGGCAGCAGATGCAAAGCGCTGGGGACATGGCTGCACCCTTCTTTACTCGCCAGCCGCCACCTGCTCTCGCCCCAGGCATCAGCGATTTCACACTGCTTGGTGCCAGCCTGCTGCATCCACGCTCCCCACCATGCTGTGCGCTCCCATGACTGACAGATCCGCTTCTCTCCCAGCCAGAGAAGCCTCCTCTCCCCAAGGGCATTCTTCGTGAGCTGACAGGAGGGAGCAGCATCAGACTTCGCGACTTTGTGGCCTGACTGACACCGATCACCCAGGCAGCACCATCCCTCCGTTATCACACCCGGAGAACTCACACAGCATGGATTTGGACTGCCAGGGCCTCAGGGGGCTGATCCACTCCTCGCCCTGCCGACACCGCCATGTGAGCTGCGTTCTCATGTCAGGTAGCAGGAGGTTCCCACACAGCCTCCCCTCAACAAACCCTGCAGCACCCACCCTGTAACAGTCACGCTCTAAAGCTTCGCAGTATTAAACACTCTACCTGTACCTTCTCTCCTTGTGACTAACAAACTGCATCACCATTTAATGGTGAGGAACTTGAGTGGAGCAAGCGCACTAAAATAGGCTGGTCAAGGTCATGACTTTGAAGGTTCTGGCTCTCAGGCCCATGATCAGACCCCTGAGCATCATTAAACCTCTCTCTGATTATACTGCATTATCTCAGTCAAAAATAGACTAAATGCAATGCTGCCGAGTCTTTAAATCGGTCTTGTTGCCAAGGAGATGAAGCATTACAAAATTGTTTAAAATGACATAAAATAGAGTGACTGAGCTTCATAAAGGCACAAGTACTTACTGCAGGTGCTTGAATGTGATGTCTGGGAAGCCAGTTGCTCGGGATCCAGAGGGAGACCGACAGAGAGCCAGGACGTATGCCCTCAGAGTTGCTATCCTCTCAACGCGGAATTTAGTTTCAATTAAATCAAGGTGTGTTCCCACCACTAACACCACTGAATTTGGAGCTTTGGCCTGTAAGAGAAAACACTGACAATGATCTCATCCAGATTACGTCGTGGTCAGTTCAGTGAGGACATGTGAAAAGTATCGTATTTAACGGGGGGTAGTCATACCTTAATAAAACAGAATATATATAAAATGGAGGCAAGCTGTGGTGGCAGCTTGACAAGAGCAACAAGTGATCTGGGTATTACAGAAGTTCTCCTGCAGAATATGGCTTAATCATCTGCTGCTACTGCAGAGCAGGAAACTGTCAGTTTGGGTTTATTACATCAGGGCTTAACATAAAGGGAGTCGCCATGTGGTATTGAATTGCTACGAGTCAGCTAAACGATGGGAACTATGTCTGCTCAGACAAGGAAAAGAAGTTAGCTTAACCTGTAGCCAGAACTCTGAGGTCCTGAAGAAAGTTAGTTACGTTCTGGAATGGATACCTGGGGAAATTATACAAACTTTTTCACTAGAGGTACATGCTAGAAAAGTCTAAATCTACTTATTCTTGAATCAGTGTAAAGGAATGGATTAGCTGATCTTGTGGTTTCTTCCAACCCTTCCATGATTCATTTACAGCACTGGAAGGTATCCAGATTTCAGGGAACACGCTGCCAAATACAATGGGATTGCACAGGCTTAAGCAGGGATCAGCCCGCCGATCCAAATGACTTTGACCACAGAAGAATATTTAGATGCAAAAATACATGCTTGTTTGCAGTCCATTCAGTTCTCTCTTATGATGCCCGCTGAAATCTCCTAAGCTGAATGACACCAAAGCGGAACCCTGCGCAGACACAGGAGTGGTGGCTGTACCACGTCAGACCAAAGAGCCCTCTTGGCCCAATATTACGGAGGCTAAGGAGGAATACGGGCACAGGGTAGGCACACAGAAGTTTTCCCTGGTGTGTTCTCCCAGGATCCAGCAGCCTGCAGATCACCAGCACCCTAACCATGAGACAGCATCTCTGAATTAATAGGACTTGATGGATTTTTCTTCCACCGGCCTGCTTTTTTCAATTCTCGCACCCACGGCACATCGCAGTGCCAATAAATTCCACAGGTTGACTACATGGGTGTTTAGGATACTTCCCATCGCTTTTTCCAAAGCTACCATCTCATTATTTCATTTGATCTCTCCTAATTCCTTTATTGCAAAAGATTACTATCGCTTTTTCCAAAGCTACCATCTCACTATTTCATTTGCTCTCTCCTAATTCCTTTATTGCAAAAGATTACGAACAAAGACTCTGCTGTGGTTTCTCCTTACCCTGGTAAGTCTACATGCGGCCTGACCCCATTTGCCTCTTTCCCAGGCTGAAAAGGCCTAATCTATTTAGCTGCCATCCACTCAGAAACCTTTCCAGATTTATAACCATCACGTTCATCTTCCTCATATCTTTTCTGATGCTGCTATGTACTTGCTGGGATCTATTAAGGACACAGGCACATGATACATTTTTGAAATATGCTTTTGGCTTTGTCACCTAGATTGGGTTTTGATTGCTGCTGGCTATGAAGCTAATATTTTTCTAATGTTGAAATGTTTCTTTTTTGAGAGACACTACCTTAGAGCTCATTTTTGTGTATGTAAAGACAGGTATCAAATAATAAACGTTTACAAAAAAATATGAATGTGATATTATAAAAATCGATCGACACCAAGGAATTCACTGCAGGTCTGAGTCTCAGCTGAGAGCTGTCTGGGAGATATTTTCTAGCCTACCTGAACCTAAAGTGTTAAAAATATAGCCTCAAGACTAATGTGTGTCTAACCCACACAAGAAAGAAAATGCTTCAAACCCCCCTTGGAGCACAGTGCGGTCAAACATTAATTCCAAAATAAGTACGTTCAGCCTTACTTAGTACGGGTTTATAAATCAGCTTTTCTTTCATTCTCCGATGCGTGCGAAGGAGAACAAAGCAAATGATAAATTTAAACTGTTAAATATAGCGCTACGCCTACAGCGTAATGGAAAATTAATTCCAAAAGCTATGCAAAATTCATAGCTCGAGGAGTTTTTAAAAGACCAAAAGAATCTGTAACATCACAGATCTGTGCGCTGAGCTACTACTTGATAAACAGATACCCCAGAGTCCACCAGCGACTTCTTACCTCGATGTTCAGCAACCAGAACTGTAAGTTTGCCACAGCTTCTTCCCCCAGTGCCAAGTTCCATACCACGATGTACAATGCTTTGTCTGTGAAGAAACACTGATTGACTGTAGACATGCTCGCTGGGCCTCCGATATCCCAGACGTTGAACTCCACTGAATCAACCTACTTAGACAAAGAGAAGTGTTCAAATCAAACGGTTGCAGTAAATCACAGGGAGATAATAGCTGAAGTATAAACCTACGCCTGCATAATGTATGACACAAGAAGAGTTTCAATGTCTTAATTGTGCCTCCAGGAAAGAAAAAAATCAACAAGCAATTGTTAAGCATGGCTACCACTTCCCCACAGGAAATCAAGACTAATTACTTGCTGCTAAAATGATAGAGGTGCCCTTGATGCTGGTAAATCTCCAGTTAATGCTGTGGATTCTCCAGTACAAACAAGGGTCTCATTCTGAGTCCTGGATTTCAGTGCATCTGGAATAGAAACCGTTTCATTCTTGTCTGCGCCATGCTCTACAGGACCGTTGAAGTTACTTATCTGCCACTGCTATGGGGAACAGGAAACCCCCTGCTGAAATCACTTCCACTGAGCTCAGCCCTAACCGAGCCAAACAGAATAGAGATGCTCAGGAGATGGGAAGCTTCTCAAGCCTTTCATAAAAACACCTCCTGCACGTTGCTGAGTGGTTTCTGATGGGCTAGAATTACAGCTACTGTAAACCGGACTCATTGATTCTTGACGGAACGTGTAGGTGGAGGCCTCTCCTCTGAGCATCTCAGCATCTGCTCCTCCGTGCAGCCCCACAACAGCTGTAAGAGTGAGTGTGGCTGTCCCCTTTGAAAAATATTCATGCTCCCCGTTGCAGCACAGAGCACCTACCTGCCTTGGAGGCTCTGTCCCTAAATCACCTGGCCCTGGGGGGGCAAGAAGTCTGTGACTGAGCAGAAAACCAAATCCTGCCCCAGCCGCCATCCTCAGAGCATCATGGAACACCAAGTGGGCTGTTTACTTGTCCATGTCCAAGTACTGACAGATCCCCCATGAGAAGTTACCCTATGAGATTTCAGCATGGAGCTAAGTATCTTCACAGGGCTCTGATCTCCCAGCATGGTCCCAGTTTGAAGTCTCCCAGAAACAGCTGGAAGAACTTCCATATTGTTTAAACCAAGCCCTAACTAGCACCAGGACTGCTTTGTTCATCCCAAAGTCCTTCAGCTGTGGGTGCTTGCATGGAGAGACAGAGACTAAGAGGCAGGGACAAAAGCCCGTTCAGCAACTTGATCCTACTCCAGGTCTTGGATGCTGTCTAGGTTTTTATTTTACTTAATTGCTCTTCAACACAAAATACACAAATCCATTCTCCCACCAAAGTCTCCTCTTTAAAGAGTCAGGCTGTGCTTGCTCTTTTTCTTTCTGTCTGTCTCTGGCCTGGCACACTTTGCTGTAGAATAGCTCAACTCAGCAGGCTCCTCCATCCCTTCCAAAACAGTCTGGTGGTCACGGCTCTCATCTGGGGAGGAACAGCCATGCATTTGCACATCCTCAACTCTGACAAGACCTCAGGACTGATTCTTCATGCTCTAATCCCTGTGTCACTACGCAGGTGGTACAGTGCTGCCTACAAATGCTTGAATTAATTCAGTGCTGTCCAAATGAGCTCAGTACGGCTTGACGCACTCCCTGAATGAGCCAGCTGAGATTCGGTTATTTAAGTTACGCCTCAGACACCCCTGGATGACCCCAGAGGTCAGGCATCCTACCTTCCACTCACCTTCCCCACCTAGGACAGTTCTGATCTCAAGAGAGCTCAGCTTTAGGTACTGATGTCCCATTTTCCGGCCCCAAATGAAAGGAGAATCTACTTTAGAGAAGCTGATCTAGAACATTCTCTCTGAATCAGTGTCCCAAACCCACCCGAGCTGGGAGAGCCAGAAGGCAGGCAGTCTACACGTGGCACCCTCTCTTTAGGATACAAAGCTGAGTGCTCAGGATAACAGAACTGTCCTTTAGTACCAACTGGAAATGAAAGAGAGGAATTGTGACGGATCTAAACCCACGTCACTGGTGAGGTCTGGCTCACAGGTAACGGGGACTGTTCTTTGTAAAAGGGTGCAGGCAATTTCAGCCCAAAAAGGGACACCACAGGGCCCAAACATCCCACTTAGGGCTGAGGATCTCTGCTTGGTTTTCACCTTTGCCTTGTGTCCCACGGGCTTGGGGAGCTCCCATTTTGTCGTGCGTACGGTGGCGTCGCTGTGCATCATCTGAGGGACTTTCCCTGTCTGTAGGATCTCAATCAGCGTCGACTTTCCCTGCCGTGGAGGACCGATGATGATCATCTTCATCAGCTTGCACTTCTCCGCTTTGCGCAGCTGCGCTCGTAAGTATGCCAGCACTGTTTTAGGGCCTGGGGGGGGGAAGCAAACGGGCTTTATCTGTGGTAACACTTACAAACGTACGTACGTACAGCAGAACTGCACAAAAACCTACCGCTGCAGACGCATCAGCTGAATTAATATTTTCCCTGCAGTTTCGCCGTGGGTTGAGACAACCCAGAGCATAAACAAAGAAGCCTCCAGAGAACAAACCTGAGACAGAGACCCCAGCAAAAGGTCACTGCTCTGAGACTCTACAATGGAGCACTGTAAGAAGAAACAAATGCTGTGGCTCGTATGCTTCAGAAGCTCAAAGGAAACATAAAATACTAATTCAGTATTGGAAAATACTCATTTTTTCCTTCTACTTTTATGTTTCCAGTTAAAATTAGATTTAGGCTTCAACAGTGTGCTGGAGAAGGAATAATTCCTAATAACTTTGTTCCCACAGGACTTTCTTATTAAAACACTCAAAAAAGAAGACAGTATTGTAATAGATCCAAAAACCTAGCAGCTTACAATAAAGTCACTTTAATGTGACGGGGACTGCTGATCCTAAACGCTTCAGTCTTGAGAAAGACTGTCTAAATACCCTAAAAAATTACACATTCAGGAAGCAAATAATGGAATTTATCTGGCATGCATAATGCAAATGAATATTGCATTTTTAAGTCATCATTTTAAGATCACAAGTCTATCTTTAAATTGATCGTGCTTAGAGCTGATTATCAACTTTGCAAATTGGTGTAAGGAGGTTTCCCTATGCAATTCCAGTTAACTGCAACAAGGGCTTGGGTTCACACTGCCTGTGCCTGTTCAGGACCATTAAAAGGAAGCAATTTTCATTATACATTCAGTCAATTTAATAAAGAACACATAGGATCAGCCTTACCCTCTTTTCTGATCTCTGCAGGAACGTTACTGATATTTAGTTCCTCGATATCCAGCTGCCAGAGATTAGCCAGCTGTCCAAGTTCTGGAGGAAGCTCTCGGATACCAGGGTTACTGTACAAAAACAAATAAATCTACCAACAACCAGGCTTTGTGTGTAAGTAGCTGCTCTCACAGACTCTCAGATTACACTATTCTCTCCTTGCAGAAATCTTCCATTAACATTTTAATAAGACTACTCAGCACTTTAATAGTAATTTCCATGCTGAAAGTGATGTATAACCTCAATTTATCCTCCGAGGCAGACAAATGTAATCATCTCTACTGGATAGTTGAGGAAATAAAGGCAAAAATGATGACTTACTGACTCTAATGCTACAGAAGCTGACAGCAAAAGGCCAGAATGAACTAGAGGCACATTAGATTCCCAGGCCTGCGTTCAAAGCATTAGATCATCTCCTCTAATTCAAAAGGCCAGCCTCCTCCTTATCTAAAGCAAACGATGGGCACAGCACTAACAAGAGGCTGACTATTTCCAGCTTCTTGACTTCAAAAAGCACTGGACATCTGGGGTGAGGCTCCATGGAAGACTGGTCACTAAAACAACATGGAAATAATACTGCATAGCTTTTCCAGGACACGGACTTACTTTCCTAAATAAAGTTCTGTTAAACCTTTCAGAAGGCAAACGGACTGCGGGACAGAGTCCAGCTGATTGTCGTTCAGATAAAGGACTTCCAGAGAATCACTCAGAAATGCTGGAAACTCCAAAAAAGGACCTGGAACAAGATAGGAAACAAATTGCACCTTTAAAATATAACAAGCATCAAGGCTCTGAACCAAAAGCCTTCACCTTAGCTCTGTAGGCAGGACATGAGGTCCTGTTCGTTGGCAGGAACCACCCCGAAGCAAGGGCAGAAAAGCAAATGGCCTTCAACGGCGATCAAACATCGACGCTCACCTCCTTAAAATCACGGAGGTGAGTGTGTTCAGAAGTGACAGCCTCCAGAACTTCTGGGGTGCTGAGGGAGGAACTCTAGGCTCGCCAAGATGAGTATACATCAGAGGACAAGTGGCATTATAGCTCTTGCTGCCGGGAGAGCTGGTCATACCTTGTGACCCACCCCTGTTCCAGCCCAGCAGCTGGCAGGGAAAGGGCATACCGAGGGCACAAACGTTTCTCAACATGATTTTTTCCATACTGCCCAAGAAAAGCCAGAAGCTGGTCAGAATTCATGTTCAGGCCTCCATGTTGCACCCTGGAGCAATCTGTGGTGGATCCAAGCCACTAGCAGCAGAGAAGAAAACCCAAATGCAGCTGACAGACTGCTAACCTAGGCTGCCTTTACATCACCGCTCGCATTTGCCCCTCTGTTCTGTTTCAGGCTGCAAGGTCTCAGGGCACTTCAGACTTTCTACGTGTCTGAGCAGCAACGAGCATATTCTGGGAACAACCCAAGCAATAACAGCAACAACTGCACGGCTGAGTTGCTGCTGCTGGAGGGGTTCAAACAAAGGGAAATTCAGCTGGTTCCAAAGAGCATCATTTTGTTTTACAAATTACTCTCAGGACAGAGGCATGAAAAGCTGCCATGAATTGTGTTGCTGTCTTAAGACTGTGTCTACCAAGAAGCATCCTGAAAGTCAAGGAAAACTAGGCCACACAGGGACAAGCAGATTCGGAGCCTCTGATTAGCAAAGTACAACCAGCACCATCTGCTGTCTCCATGGTCAATAAAAGCGAGTCCTTGAGACGCGAGACACACCCTTCCTCAAGGAGAGAATGGTTGCACTCCCACCAAGATCTTCTTCCCTTACAGAGAAGACTTGAGGAACTGTAACTAGACTTAGCCAAAAAAGGGGAAGAAAAAAAAATTGAAGAGGTTTGCTCAGGAGAAAGTTCCTCAGTTCTAATATTAACAGCATTTCAAGCCTGAGCTACGATCAGAAAAAGAGTAAGATAGAGTCCCACTGTCTGCAGGGGTGTCTTATATACGTGACAGGACTGTCTGCTGTGGGCAGAGTGTCACAGTCTGCCTTTGAGTTTTCAAATAAGAAATCATCTTTGGGATTATTTTAGGAGAACAGCAGGCTTATTCATAGATTCAATTCACTTCCTGTCTGGCTCATCGCTGGACTTAAACTTTTCATTGTTCCCCCAGTACGCACCTAGGCACAGACAGATTTAGTCCCTCTTGGACACGTAGGAGCAAACACCTCAAACAGCAGCAATACTCTCTCTCAATTCACCAGAGTCCCAGGCAGAAAGGGGTGTACTATATTGGAAGCAAGCTCGAGGTGTTTATGAATTGTAATTATTTATTCATGAGTTATTTATGATTTCTCTGGCTTGAGCTCAAATTTTCTCTTAAAGGAAGTGTAGAAAAATTAAAAAAAAAAAATCTTGAAAATATATTTTTGGATAAGTAAATGCCACCAACACTGCACACGTGTGCAAGAAGTTATTCTGAAATTTATCAAGCAAGTATAGTGACCATCCATAAACTAAATAATCTAGACGAAAGTAAATAGCTTTGTCGGTACAATCGTATGAAAACCTGCCCCCCACCTCGCTAGGGGACTTCTGTGAGCAGCTGATGTACTTTAGCTTCTGTTTTCTTTAAATTCTTGGCCACATCCCCTAGTCTCACCAAGCTATACTTGGCAGAGGAACAGAGAGAAAAAGATGAGCTGGCTTTGCTCTGCCTCTGTGGCTGTTCAACCGTGGCACTAGCCAGGTGGGCTACCCCATGCCCTCCTGCAACCTGAGGCAACCTCAGCCAAAGCTGCACCAGGGCACGACGTGCCAAGGCTTTTCAAACGGTGCTAACGCAGAGTCCATTCTCTCCTCCCTTACGGAGAGGGGTCATGCTGGGTTTGCAGCATAGAGAGATTTCCATTAGGACAGCAATTCCCTTTTAAAGCTGGTTTTAGCTGCCTTTGCCCGCTGCTCCTGCTCTTCTCTCCCTACTGGGAAATGCTGCTGTAGCACTTCACAGAGAAGCTCTGAGGACACGTCAGGCTCCACAAATTCACAAGATTCAGGCTCGTTTTCCAATTCTTCCGTGCTCAGGATTTCACCCACGTCATGGTATTTCTAGTTCTGTTTCCTATTTGCAAAACATGCAGACCAACCCTTTCTCCTCCTTACGGTGCACAAGCAGGACTTGCAGCACGGCAGTCTCTACAGAAAAATGCGTTGGGAATAGCCTTGCCTGAACGTCCAAGTAGAGCCTTTGCCTCATGGACGAGCGGACTGGAGGTTGGACTTGATGACCCTGGAGGTCCTTTCCAACCATAGTGATTCTGTGACCTCCAAGCCTGACCTCTAGCTATGACCACACTTGGTGCACTTAGCAATTTTACGTATTCACATTGACCTGAGACTGTGCACAATTTTTAGGGGAACTGAGGAAAGTATTTGCCGCAGGAGGGCCTCTCCCTCCCGTGAGCAGCTTGAAGGCTGCTCGGGCGTGCATCACGAAGATGCCAGCTCTGTTCCACTCTGTGATTTGCAAAGAATGCTTTAGAGCAAGTCATTCTTCAGGCAGCCAACAATGAGAAAGATCTCCAAGAGCTTTAAAAGAAAACAAACAAACAAAAAGAAACGCGGATGGATCCCAGAGAGAGCAGGAAGTGGTGCAAATATCTTCAGATATTCCTTCGTTCTCTCTGGGATTTCCCGTGCACTAATCCAGAGCATCTCTTCCACTCTGCCCCAAACTGCTGGTGCAAATCACAGAGACGGGGAAAACACGCAATTTACAAATTCAGCGACAGAAACTGAATAACCTTCATGAAAAGAGTAAACGCTCGGCGCAAGAAACACCATCTCATTCTTCATCCTTCTATATTAATGGTATCAACCAGCCTCACCGTTTCTTTAGAAACATTTTATCTAAACATATTTCCTCTTAATTTAAATACTTAATTTAAATGCTTAATTTAAATGCTGCGCTTCAAACTGCAGATGAAATCACATTGTTTTCCCTCCAGCCGAACTCTTCAGATACCTGCTGCTTCAGAGCCCACCTGCTATTCTCAGCGCTCGATTCCCCACCTCTGCGCCACCGTGTGCCTTACCTGCCTCCGGGCCGCCACGCAGCACCCTGCTCTTCGTGGTGAAAAAGGGAATCCTCTTCGTTTTAAATCCCTCATCGCTCCTGCAGGCCAAACAGAACAGTGACACGTGGAGAAAAGAGGTCAGACACGGCAGTCAAGAACCGCGCTGGAGCTGCACGCCCAGGACACGACGGGGCGGAGGGTCTGGCGCTGCTCAAGGCTGTGGGGTTCACAGCACAGCTCTTAGGGGTTCCCGTGTTGGTTTTGAGGGATAGAATTGAAACCCGCCGTGCAATCACAGCGCTAGACTCCACCAACACTTTTTCCAGGCCCAATGGTTTTCTTCTGGCAAATTAAGAGAGCTCTGCAAGGCAGCACTTTTGGCTCCCAGGGCGAGAGCACTTGACCCCCAGCTTTACAGGTGTCAAGATTAAGTACGTTGTCAAACAGCAAACTGAGCAAGCTCCACGAGAAGCGCCGGAAGAACCGACCCGGAGCCGTTCCCTGCTCCCTCCAGAGAGGCTCTGATGAGAGATGGCCCAACAACGTGACTCTGGGAACGCACTTAGACATTCCAAAACCAGTAATTTGTCTTTTGCAGCTGACACGGCAGGTCGTGAGGACTTCAGAAAACTTGCTGGACAGGCACCCAAACAAGAAGATATAAGAATGGCACTATTCAAGGCAGTTCTGGAGAAGATAAGGAACCTTTAACTCTCTCTGTTAAACATCCCTATTGTAATTTCTAAAGAGAACATCACTCTTTTATTGGATGGCTTTCAGTCTTCTCTATGAACTTGCAGCTGGTTACACTTCCATTTAAAAACAAAGATTTTTCATTTTTTCCAAAACAATACTACAAACTGCAGTCCAGCCAGATGATTTATGGTTAAGATGTGCTCCCCATAAACTAGTATTTGTAGTGATGAACCACACACTGGGTTAAAAAGATTTCTACATGCTCTGAAACTAAACTGCCATTATCAGTAATCTATCCACTTAATAAATGGTATAGTGTGCTAAATGCCCAAAGAACCGGTAAAGGATAATTCATCACTGCCACAGACACACAATATACTTCGCGACGTGGTATGTGGGTATCAATGCCTTCTACGCAGGTAATTAATTCACCACTGACACCCTTTGTATTACACGAGGGACCAGGTTTGCTAGTAATTCTTCAGCTTTTGTTTTCTCAGACAAAATTTGAAAGAAACACTTACTTCCCAAGTTGGTTTTTTGAAAGATCCAGCGATTTAAGTTGTTTGCAATTCCACTTATTTTGTGAAGGCAATGCAACTAACTGATTTCCCAGCAGCTTCAGGGACACCAAAGCCTAAAAGAGAAATAGCCTAGAGTTAGAGGACAAAGTCCATCAGGCACACAGAAAGAGGTTATTTAACGTGGCTATTAAATAACAGAAACACCAAGAAAGTACATTTTATTCATCAGAACATCCTGTCCGTGCTGCCTAGCATGCAAACATTTCCTTCTCGTCTCCAGCAAGTATAATTTCTCACGAAGCAACGCCACTATTAGTTCTGGGAGATTATAAGTCTCCTTGCTGACAGATGCAATTGGAAACAACCCATATAAGAGGACGTTTTACTTTCAGTGAGGAAGCCTTTCCAAATGGAAAAGAACAGGCATGATTTACTGACACGGCATGCCACATAGGGACGAGAAGTCTGAGTCGTGTATGCAAGCTGGTGGCAGAGGGGGCTCACACCTGTTGTGCATGCGTAAAATCAACGTGCAAAATGTGAGTTATTTCACACAAGGAAAACCGTTAATTGCTTCATTATTGCATGTCTATTAAAACGGAAAGGATTTATATTAATTTTCCAAAATTTGTACAAGTTACCTATCTACGTCCTCTCCTCACACCAGAGGCAGATATTTTAAAAAGAAGTGAAGGTGATTAACAGCACACAGCCGCAGATAACATAAGGTTAAACATAAGCTCTCCTTTAACTTTAACTGAAATATAGAAGAAAAAAACCACAGTTCCCATTCAGCTTTGTCATGTTTATGCTCTTCCTTCTGCCTTTAAAAATAATGTCAGGCTCAAATCATCATTTTCATTCGGTTGAACATCCAATTTTCTACTGAAAAAGTCTTCTGTGCAGAGCATCCAACCAGGTTTACCCTGAAAGTCTACGCTCATGAAAACTGAGATAATTCAGCTGACATTCTGCTTATCTCATGCCACAGGTACAGCTGTGTTAATGAATTATACCCCATGGAAATCATGTTTTAGTAGCAGCGACTTCAGCTTCAAACGTGTGAAATGTTTTATGCGCTGCACATAATAGAAAAGGTTTATGTGCCTTTTCATCAAGTAGGATTAACAATGTCTCACGAAGTCAGCCTGTTGGCCTTCCTCCTCTTTTCTGAGATTGGAAAAATAGTAGGTCCCCATGTGACATAAGCAATGGACAACCGGCAGTCGCTGGCGTGGCAACTATCGTGCTAAATGCTCCCTCTAGTGATACGAGAAGGGGCAGCACTGGGCTTTGGTGGGTCTTGGGGAAGGTGAAGTGAAACACAGAACTGCAGAGCGAGCCACTAACGGAGGGGGTTGGAAAACCGTGCAAACTATAAAACCCTCCCTACCCCTCGAGTCTTGACAGCCAAGGCTTTTGTCATCATTAGTCTTCCACTGGCTCGAACCTCCCGTTGGAAGGAAGGCCCGGTCCTCTCTCAGCGCCTGGTGTCGAGCTCTCTCCAACTACCAGCATGGGGCTGTTCAATGACAATGCTTCAAACTTCTCCCCCGAAATATCCCCAAGGAGCAAAAGGGAGGCTACGTGTTCCAGAATTAGCACAAACTTTGTTCTGTGTGGTCTAGCCAGGGTGCTTCGCTTTCAGTCAACTGTATCCGCGTTACACGTCCCCCACAAACGCTGACAAAGGCCACGCTCCAGGAGAGCCAAGAGCCTGGTGAGACTACATGGAATGCTGATGTGCCTGCTCCGTGGGGGGAAAATTAGTGACTTTCAACTGGCTGTGGCTCTTCCTGACTGTAATTCTGGAGATCACTAGACCTTGGTTTGCAATTGTCTCTTCTCTCTCAACTCTGACTTCTCCATTTCCGCTGCCTTTTGGGAAGAGAATGAACGGGTTCCTCCAGAAGTGAGACAATGGCAGCAGCAAACTTCTTTCAAACCTTCTGTCGCAGCATGCAAACAGGGCTCTGGTGGGTTAGATTACACAGGAGAGGAGGAACTGCAGCATCCAGATTAGGCTGCCTTGGTCAGCTCGTGATGTGGAAAAGCTGACCAGAGTCTTACCTGAACAATTCCACCCAGAGAGGGTCAGGTTTCTTCAAGAGAAGCAAAATAATCTAGAGAACTAAGACATGGCTTCATAGAATCATAGAACGATTTGGGTTAGAAGGGACCTCAAAGATCATCTAGTTCCAGCGCCCCTGCCATGGCAGGGACATCTCCCGCTAGGTCAGGGGGCTCAGTGCTCCATCCAGTCTGGCCTTGACCATTTCCAGGGATGGAGCATCCACAACCTCCCCGGACAACCTGCGTCAGTGCCTCACCACCCTCAGGGTAAAGAACTTCTTCCTCATATCTAGTCTCAACCTACACTCTTCCAGTCCCTCATCCTGTCACCACAGGCCCTTGTGAAAAGCCCCTCCCCAGCCTTCTTGTAGGCCCCCTTCAGACACTGGTAGGTCACTGTAAGGTCTTCCCAGAGCCTTCTCTTTTCCAGGCTGAACAAGCCCAACTCTCAGCCTGTCCTTGTAAGAGAGGTGCTCTAGCCCTCTGACCACCTTGGTTGCCCTCCTCTGGACTCAATCCAACAGCTCCATGTCCCCAGGACACAGTTGGTTTCTGGGCTGCAGGCACACGTTGTTGGCTCACGCTGATCTTACCCACCAACACGTCCAAATCCTTCTCCCCAGGACTGCTCTCAATCCACTCACTGCCCAGCCTGTATCTGTGCTTGTGCCTTGAGCCAAGTGCAGGATCTTACACTTGGCCTTGTTAAACTTCATGAAGTTGGCCCAGGTCCACCTCTCAACCTGTCAAGGTCCCTCTGGATGGCATCCCTTCCCTCCAGTGTGCTGACCGCACCACACAGCTTTGTGTTCTCGGCAAACTTGCTGAGGGTGCACTCAATGCTTGGAACACGTATGGTTGGTTCTTTCAGGAGGCAACAGACAGGAAAGCTGAGATGGCTTCTCTCAACACCACATTTCTAGTACCTACATCGTATCAGCGACTGTGAGCTGGCCCTAGTCTCAAGACCCCTCCACAAACCAAGCAAAGGCCAGTGATAAATTACATGTCCCACCAGCCCACGTCAGAAATATGCTTTCAAGTCACAGGCCTCCTCTGCTTTCAGCTTTTCCCAGGGAGAAGACAGTTCACTACAGCTCCTACATAACGTTAGGAACGTGTTTCCTAAAATATACGTAGGAACATGTTACTGTCCATTTCTGTCCCTTCCCACATCTACTTTTGGAGAGGTTTGGAGCATGACTGCATGTTATTCACCAATACAAAGTCTACAACCAAGGAGTAGACCAAGCCAGGGCTGATCAAGGCACGGCTTTTACCTTCTATTTTTTTACTATACTCTAGCCCTTGGGCGGACCGAAAATACCTGCTATTTGTTGGGGGGTTTTTTATTATTAAGGTAAAGCTGAAGAGATGTGGATAATAACTGGCACTATTTAAGGCACCCAAAGCTTGCTAATTTTGAAGAGAGACCATAATCAGAGATGGCACTGAGGTCTTCTCTGATGCCCTGTACTGGTGCTTCACATCCCTCAGCAGAGTCTGAGAAGCAGCCCCCAAAGAAACACGCCCTTCAAGCACCCTCTAGTGTTTAGATCTGTCGTGCTACGTCCCACCTACTGGGCTTCTTTTTAATGCCTTCAGCAAAACCCCACAAGTTTCAGAGACAATAGTCCATAGGATTTGTTCTATTTCATGAGAAATGCCAAGTGAAAACAAATGGCTACCAGAAAGCAAAGCCAAATCTGCAGGGATCATTAAAAACAACTGAGGGAGCAAACAACCTTCAGCACTCTTCTTCTAGGCAGGAACAAGAGGCACCTTTTGCAGCAGACCCCCGAGATGTGTACTGGACATGGATATGAACCATCACTTCTGTATCCCTCCTGCAGATGCCAGCAGTGAAAATCGAGAAACTTCTGCACAAAGGTCTACCTCTGTTTCTATCTCCATGACCCTGAGTTTCACAATCTGGAAGGGAAGCTTGGAGGAAACCTCCAAGTTCTGCTTGGTTTCATGTCGAAACCATGCAAAGCCACAAATTCTGACGAATTTTGAAGTAAAACTATGGATCTCTGACGTCCACTGGCAAGAATTATTTAATCTACAAGCTTAAAGAGAAGAGAGATGTTAACTAGCATTGTTTTAGGGCATTCCAACATGCCATTTCCAGCACAGAAAGTTCAATCCTTAATTACACAACGCTGGTGTGCCAGGTTGAGAACAAACACAACTATTTGTGAGCACATCTCTATTTCAGTGGTCGGAGCTTGCAGCTACAATGCCGTGGTTGTCTTCCAAACTGCACTCCCAAAATCTGACAACCACAGCCATCCAAAGAGTTCTTGGAAGATCTGTGTCAAAAGCTAGACACCGTATCGCACTGGACAAGGACCTGAATGTAATCATTCAGGGGGTTACAGGATACTCAGAGGATCTGTGCAACTGCTGTGTTCAACTCAAAACAGCAGAGAGTCTCCCACTTAACCAGGCAGCCACTGCTATGACTTCAAGGTCTGAGTAGGTACGAAGAGAAGTACTCTGAAGTAGGAAGAAATGACACTTACTTCAAGCTGGAATAGCCCCGGTGGAACTTCTTTTAATAAGTTCTCTGAAAAATCCACTTCTCTGAGGTGATTTTTCCAGAAAATAGTCAATGCGTCAGGCAGGAACTCTATTGAGTTTCTAGATGCCTTACAGCATTTCTGGAAAACAGTAAAGAAAAAACACCCACCGAGTAATAATCATCTCTTTAAACAGGCAGATCAGCTGTCACATTTTTAAGGCATTAATAAGTTCATTCTAGGTGATCTCTTTAGGTATTTTGATCTAGATAAACTACTGTGCATGCAGGCTCATAGCACTTGTTGAGAGATGTACCCACTTAGCTGACAGGCAAATTCTTTGGTGGGAAAAACGTGTTTCAAAAATTACTTTGAAAACTAACCCCATTTGCTTTTCAGCCATAACCAAACACTTCACCAAAGTACACTGTTCTCCTGCTATCCCTCTCGTAGTCAGGGTGATGGGTGGATACAGATGCCCTAGTTGGCCATGGGTTTGGGCAAAGGTAACTTTGGGTGTAAAACAATCTCAGCAAAACTTCTGCTAAACTGAATCAGGCAGGGGCACTCTTACAGAAACAGAACAGCCTTACAGCCTAAGATGTCTGACAGCTTTTTAAGCATCACAGTACAATTTTTGCATTGTTTCAACAGCTTTTGCAGTCTCTGACTCTGTCACGGCACTTCGACTTACCAGGGGGCAGGCCCAGGGATCTGGAAACACTTTCAGCTGATTTCTGGAAACATTCAGTATGTTTAGGGACTTGAAGCAGTATAGAAAAACCGTTGGAAGTTCCACCAACCTGTTGTCAGAGACGTCAAACTCCTGCAGCTTCCTTAAACCAATCCAATTAGTTGCTGGAAAACACAAAACATTGCGGAATTGGCATAAGCTTGATATAGCAGGATGCTGCATACCTGCTAGATAACAGCAACAGGATTTCATCAGTGCTAAAAAATATGAGCTAAAAAACAGGGCTTTTCATATACTTTGAACAAAAGACTGAGAGATGCTACACACCTCTAGCTAATACTGCCTTTAAGTTATTATTATAAAAATTTTGGGGTTCTTCCTTACAGGCCTTGAAATTTTAGTGTAACACTGGACTGTACGTACTGGTTTCCTCGTCAAATAACTTCTCCATATAGTTTTTGGAAGCGATGAGTTTTTTAAGGTTTTTAAGATGTAGGAATCCAGAAGGGAGAGTAGAGAGCCTGTTGCTTGAGACGTCGACCTCGAGTAACCTGTGAGTACAGAAGATACTCAGTCAGGCATCAGTAAAATGCTAGCCAAGACTCCTGTTGCCATAGCCAAGTATTTTACCAGGACAGCTTTAGATCAGAATGAAAGCAGCTGGAACGTGCTCTCACAAGGCAAAGCAAAAAACTCTATTTAGAAAATTAACCCTTCCAGCAAGCAGCCAGAAGCGGTCTGCATAGACAGCAGATGAGATGATTGATACCAGCCAGCAAATGTCCAACTGAGTCAGCTCGGGGCTTAAGATTTAGAGGAGTGGGGCTCACCAGAACCAGAGAAAAGCAGAAGCAACATGAGAGTGTACAAAAATAAAAGTCCCCTCAACTGTCCTTACAACTAACTTGGAAACACTGAGAACGCAAAAGGGCAAATCTGAAGTTAAGCCTTGCAGCAGACAGAAAATAAATCAAGACGCTCCTGCATATGCTCTTCAGTTATGCAGTTTCAAGCAGGCACACCTGACCTGTTTGCAACTGTTCTCCGTATGGGTTGTTTTACTGTAGGCATTGAGCGCACACACCTTGTACAGATAATTTCATCCGATGATTGTACGCTGGGTAACTCCGTCAGCTGGTTGTCAGCCAGGCTGAGCTTCCTGAGGTTTATCAGGCCCCATGGGATCACGGATGGAAGGGAGACGAGGCAGTTGGCAGAGAGGTCAAGCTCAGTTATCTGACAGGAGATATCAATCAGCCAGTCCAGATCCACCCAGGGCAGTTTGAGGTTTGACCAGTTCACACACAAAGCCTGCATATGTCAAAGAAGGAAGAGAAAACCATGTTAATAAAAACCCAGTTGCTCTCAGCCTGTGTTAGAACGCTGGGAATCTGGCAAATCAGAGCACAGACCATAAACATTTTGCTCACTTTCCAATCTGCTTCTAGGAATTAAACTGACTCAGAGATGAAATCATGCCTGGATACCAGCAGCCCCCACCATAGAGCTGCTCCGTGATCTCACTCCAAAGACCATGAGCAAGCGCAAGCGGGGGACCTGGCCTTCTTCACCAGTCCACACTCCAGCTCCAGGGTGCTCCACATAGGGTGAGCTGCCCTTGCCTGGAACCAGCGCTCTCATCTGAGAGCAGGACAGACTCTAATGATTTGATCTGACAATGTACAACAAGCTTCCACTGGGCTGGGCTCCCTACCCCGCAAGACACGTTCATGCGTGATATGAACCGATCACAGAAACCACTCTGTCTCTTAGATATGGACTGCGTTGCTGCTCAGATCTCCAGGGGATTCAGAACACCAGGAGAGGCCAGGCAGGTCCAGAGCAACCCTGTGGAGCAGTCAGCCTCTGAAATGCTTATAGGTCACTGCTTGGGCATCTGTAGAAACAGAATAATTAATATATGCCCAGATACTGCTCTTCCAACTTAAACCTTCAAACAAGAAGCAGCCAAACCTTAGTTTTTCTGGCATCTGGGAAAGACAAGGAAAGGCAAACACCCTCTTGTAAAGTACTTCCGAACACCAGAAATTTGCTCAGTATCATTTAGGGAGATACTTTAGGTTGCAAGATATGACTTTGTTGCCTCCTTTCTAGATAACATTCGGCTGCTTCTGACAGTAAGATGAGGAAGTCATTTTATCCTCTTTCAGAAAAAAACCCAGAAGTTGTTGTGAAAGGTGTAACTACTTATTTCAGGCTCCAGCTTGGATGGAAGAAAACGTGAACACATAATGGTCATCAGCTCCAGAAAACAACCCAAAGCTTCACTTCCACGATCACCTCATTGAGTTCCTATGAGATTTATGTCCCAAAATACTCATTTTAAAAATGTTAATTCCAAAACGTTTTCCTAAGCTCAGTGGTTTTGACATAACTTATCCCAAAGACAACCTCAATGAAGCGATTGTTAATTCTCCACCAGGAGGCAGCAAGGACCTGAAGGCAAATTCTGTTTGCTTCCCAATTCCTAGTATTTCGCACTTGAGACTTTTAGCCCCAAATTTAAAATTCAAGTGCTTATATGAGACTCAGAACTCAAATTAATGAAGATCACATAGTTCAGCTGTCCAGGACATAAAGGGTCAGCACAAACAGTACCACCTTTTAGAAACTGGCAGTAGTAGTACTTAGCGTAGACGTAGTGCTTTTCAAATGTTCGCTAGTGAAGCCTCAGGACAGCCCTGCAAATATGAATGGAAATATTATGCCCACTGTATCACCGAGGAAAGCACGGCAGAGAGCGCAAGCTGTGTGGCTAAAGCTACATTCACTGCCCTGCCACAAGGCAGCCATATCAAACGCAGCAAGCCAGCAGCAACAAGAAATGAAATTAAGCAGAATATCTACGGCTACTGCAAAATATGCAGCACCTGATGGGAGTTACACTGCAAACCTTTCCCGCTGGCACTGGACATACTCTGATTTGCTGCTAGATTTTCCAAGTCTGTACGTTTAAGGCTCCTGCTTACAAACTCTTGGTTTAAATTCTCTATGCAATTCTGTTTTCAGTGTTACAGCTCAAGACTGAGCTTCTTTACCTCACTGGACAGCACTCAGTTGTGATTTATGGTAACAGAGTAAAAGCACCCAGATCAGATTCCCTTTTCCAACCCCAGCCACCCTTCAGGAAAGATGCAGTGCTGTGATACTGATGCTAAGGCACTGGAAGGTCTTCCCAGCATAAGGAAATCTCACTGGGGAAGAGTCCATTTGCACTGAGACACTTGACTGTTCTGAGCTGGTTCCTTGAACTGCAGCAAGGGTTTGTAACAGGAGTCAGATCCCTAAATCCAGGTAACGCAGGAAACCAGCTCCACCCTACAAAAAAAATCCTCATGTAGTATTGATATCAGTCTGACTACTTAGACACACGTTCAGGGCACTACCCTGTCTGATAATATTATTAATCTTTATTTTAGAAAGAGATTTCAGCTGGCTTATATTCCAGCCAAGGTCACAAAAAACCAACTTATACTGGTACTGGTGCGAGAGCAGTGAGAAGTGCACAGCTGGGGCGAGGAGGAGGGCAGCATCGCTGTAGCTCCATCCCAGATCAGCTGAATGTATCCCTCATAGAAATACGGCTTCGTCAGCAATAAAATCCTCTTGCTGATGTTGTTTATACCATATTGTGGTTTATAGTGATGCCAGTAAAAGCCTTCCTATGCCAGGACAATTAAATACACAGTATGACTTCTGCTCATACAGGAAAAAAAACCCCATCACTCTCCTGCCTAACAGTGCTGGGTAAGAATCACACGCTCTGCATTAGCAAAATCACGGACCACAACCCCCCTGGTTTGCCAGAGAGTTAAGAAAAAGCCTGATCCCCAACTACATGTGCTTGTACTTCGTAGATTTTTAGTACAAATAGCCTCCTCAGGCTAGAAGGGAAAGGTGTAACAAAGATCCAGCTGATGAAAGTCTAATAATTAGAAGCACTTTAACAGGGAATCAGCCATTTTAACAACTAACCTTTCTTGCCAG